AGTTATGGCTCATGAAATTGTGAATTTTAAACTATACAAAATTATGTCATTTGGTCAAAATGAGCAAAAAATGGAAAAATAATTATGGATTATTGTTCATGAAATAGTGAAAAACTATGCATAAATACTTGACATTTGGTCAAAATGATAAAAATAAATAAAATTCATGGGTTATGACTCATTAAAGTCATGAATTTTAAACTTCCTTTTAATTATTTCCTATTTTATCAAATTGGGAAAAAGGATCGCAATGATGGTTATAGCTCATAAAATTAAGAATTTTTACTTTGTATAATTATTTACCAAATGGTCAAAACAAATAAAAAATAAACTAAAATTGTGGGTTATAGCTTATAAAATTATGTATTTTGAATCCCTCAAAATTATTTATTCATTAGCTCGAAATGAGGGAAAATGGATAAAAATTATGGATTATAGCTCATGAAATCATGAATTTTAAGCTCTACATAAGTATTTGCCATTAGGTCAAAACAAGAAGAAATGAAAAAAAATCATAGGTTGTAGCTCATGAAAATCATGAATTTTGAACTCTGTTTAATTATTTCATAGTTCATTATGGGGAGAAAATGGCAAAAATCATGGGTTATATCTTATGAAATTGTTAATTTTGAACTACACATAATTTTGAATTCCATTTAGTTATTTCTTATTAGGTAGAAATGAACAAAATGGATAAAAGTTATGGGTTATGGCTCATGATATCGTGAATTTTGAGCTCCACATAGTTATTTACCGATTGGTCAAAACAACAAAAAAATGAATAAAAAACATGGGTTATAAGTAATGAAAATCGTGAATTTTTTGAAGTTTATTTTATTATTTTATATTTGGTTGAATGAAGTGAAAATAGACGACAGTCATGGGTTATAACTTCTGAAATCATAAATTTAGAACTCAGCATAATCATTTACCATTTGGTTGAAATACACAAAAATAAAAAAAATTACGGGTTATAGTTCATAAAATTAAATTTTGAACCCATAAATTAATTGACATTGGCTTGAAAGAAGCAAAATTGAACAAAGCATGCGCCTTATAGCTCATTAAATCATCAATATTGTGCTCTTAAATAATTTATTTGGTGAATAGAACAATAATAAAGAAGACATGTAAGTAGCTCTCTGTAAAATCATTTGCCATTGGGTGAAAAATAGCAGAAATGGACAAAAATCATGGAATATAGCTAAATTTCAAACTTTGGTTAGTTACTTTTTATTTGGTCCAATTGAACGAAAATGGACCAAAATCAAGGTTGCTTATGAAATCATGAATTTTGAACACTGCATAATTATTTACCTCTCGGTCAAAATGAATAAAAATAAATAAAAATTATGAGTTATAGCTCATGAAATCGTAAATCTTGAGTCCCGTAAAATTATTTTCCAATGTCCTGAAATGAGCAAAAATGGAAAAAAATTGTGGGTTTGTAGTTCATGAAAATAATTAATTTTGAAGTCCATTTAACTTTTTTTCTATTTGGTCCAAACAAACAAAAATGGACAAGTATTTATGGGTTTATATCTCCATTTTTTACTTCCATTAATTATTTTCTATTTGGTCAAATTTAGTAAAAATGGACTAAAATCATAGTTATAGCTCATGAAATCAAGAATTTTTAACTTTGCTTAATTATTTACCATTTTTTCATAATAAAAAAAATAAACAAAAATGAATTATAGCTTATGAAATTGTGAATTTTGAACCCCGTAAAATTATTTGTCATTAGCTTGAAACAAGCAAAAATGGACAAAAACCGTGGAATCTAGCTCATGGAAATTGTGAAGTTTGAACTTTGTTTAATTATATCTTATTTTGTCTAAATGAATGAAAATAGACAAAAATTGTGGGTTATTGCTTATGAAAGCGAGTATATTATGCTCTTGCATAATTATTTATCATTTGGCCAAAATGACCAAAAGTGAACAAAAATCGTCGGTTATAGCTTATGAAATCATGAATTTTAAACTCCACAAAAGTATTTGTTATTGGGACAAAAGGGAGAAAATGGATAAAAATTGTGGGTTATAGCTTGTGAATCGTGAATTTTGAACTCTTTAAAATTATTTTCTATGTGCGAAAATGAGTGCAAATGGACAAAGATCATGGATTATAGCGTATGAAATTGTGAATTTTAAACTTTGCATAATTATTTTTCATTTGTCTAAAAAAAGTAAAATTGAACACAAAAATTATGAGTTATAATTCATTAAAAATTATGAATTTGAATTGGTTCAATTATTTCCTATTAAGTAGAGTTGAACATAAATGGAGAAAAAACATGGCTTATATCTTATGAAATCGTGAATTTAGAACTCCTCATAATTATTTACCAATTGGTCAAAATGATAGGAAATTAATAAAAATCATGGTTTATAGCTTATTGAAATTATAAATTTTGAACTTTGTTTAATTATTTTCTATCTAGTCGAAATCGAGTGAAAAAGAACCCAAATCATGAGTTACAGCTGATGAATCATGAATCTCAGCATAATTGTTTACCATGTGTCCTTATCATGTGATATGACTCATGAATTTTGTCCATTTTATCATTTTGACAGCATAGCAATTAAGTATGCATGCTTCAAATTCATATTTTATATCTCATGATTTTGTTAAGTTTTGTCATTTTCGACCCAAAGAATTAAGTATGTTTAATAAAATATTAATAATTTTCCTAGATTATAACTCATAATTTTATCAATTTCGTTTGCTTTGACCTAATAGCTATTAAGTATATGTACTTTGAAATTCATGAGTTTTATGAGCCAAATACAACGATTTTTTCCATTTCTTTGTTTCAACTCAAAGACAATTAAGGAGGTTTACTTATAAACTCATGATATTTATGGGCTATAACCAATAATTGTTATCGATTTTTGTTCATTTTGACGCAAATAGAACTAAATACATATACTTCAATCTTCACAAATTTTAAAAATAGTGGACTATAACCCATTATTTTTGTTTGTTTTTGTGCATTTCTACCCAATGACAATTTAGTATGCATATTTAAATTTCACGATTTCCATTGGCTAACCTATGGTTTTTGTCCATTTGGACCCATGTGGTAATTAATTATGCATGCTTCAAAATTCGTGATTTCCATAGGCTACATATGATTTTTATATTCATTTTGGAGCTTTGCTACAGGGACCCAAAATATGGGACCAATAAAGGGGACAAGTGAGGTGTCCCCCTCCTATTGGATAATGAGTTTGCCATCATTAATGATGGCCAACTCATTATCCAATAGGAGGGGGACACCTCACTTGTCCCCCCTATTGGTCTCATATTTTGGGTTCGTAAAGAATTTTTCTTCATTCTTCATTTTGTATGTTTCAATTCAATAACAATTAATCGCGCGTACTTCAAAATTCATAATTATTATAGGCTAACCTATGATTTTTGTCAATTTTCATTCATTTTGAACCAATGACAATTAAGTAAGCAGACCATAAATTTTGTAATCTTCATGGACAATCCATGATTTTATCCCATTTCAACTAATCGCAATTAAGTATATACTTATTTCAAAAAAAAGTACACTTACTCCAAAATGCACAATTTTCATGGTTTCAAAGTTTTGTCAGCAAATATATAGAAAACCTCTAGTCTAATGACTGTCTTTTAATCCCTTGATTTCATTAATCGTCAAATATACATTTTGGAGAAAAGTCTCTTTTTCTGAATTACTTAATTGAATGTCGAGTTTATGGTTTGAACAATGGAATAATTTATTTCATTTACAAATGGAAGGTGTTTTCAATTTGTAGTGAAATGCAGTTGATGATTAGTTTATTAATGAAAATCAAAGAGTGCAAATTCTGTTTAGTCTGCTGAATGTATACACATACATCCGTGCATGCACGTGGTCATGCATGCATACAAATTTCTCCCAAATTAGCAGCAACACGCATGCATACATATAAATTTTTCCCAAAAATAGCTCATTCAAATGTGAGAACAAATTCACATGGGTAGTGAGTGGATGAGGATGTGACACATCACTACCAAGTACAAAATTTGTGCTTGGTACCAAGCATACCCATATTTCTCATATATATATATATATACATCTATTCCTTTATACAAATAGGAGGATCAGAGATTCACTGTTCATGCTACAGTAAATGCTACAGTAGCATTTACTATAGCATTATTACTGTAGCTAATAATTGATTAAAAATATTACTGTAGCACACGGGTATACTGTGGCATTTAAAAGGTACTATAGCAGAGCGGGATACTGTAGCACTTCCAAAAATTCAAATCATGCCATATTAAAAAAAGCGGGATTACTGTAGAAAAAAAATACCGTGCTTTGCACGGACCGCAAACTAGTATATATATATATAAAGAGAGAGAGAGAAATGGGTATGCTTGGTACCAAGCATAAATTTTATGCTTAGTAGTGAGATGTCTCATTCTCATCCACTCATTCAATTGGGGGATCACATTCAACCCATGTAAATGTGGTCCCCCCATTTGAATGAGTGGAGGATAATATGTCAGCTCACTACCAAGCACAAATTTTGTGCTTGGTAACAAACATACCCATATTCCTTTTATATATATATATATATTGATAATATATATCTATAATATATATATAAATATAAATATAATGTGTGTGTGTGTTGTGTGTGTGTGTGTGTGAAAACTTGTGTCAACTTAAGTGGATAGGGAAAGTGTGTGCCACCAAAGTTTTTAACCACTCATATTGCCTAGAGATCCATGTTATTATATAAAAATGTGTTTTATATTAATAAATGTGTGTTACAAACTTTGGTGAACATCAACTTAAGTTGATAGGAGTCTTGCTCTCTCTGTCTGTCTCTCTCTCTCTCTCTCCTCCTCTCTCTCTCTCTCTCTCTCTATATATATATATATATATATATATATATATATATATATATATATATATATATATATATATATAATAATAATAACATTTACAACAAAGTGTCTAAGTACATATTGACTTTTGAGCTTTCTACAATATTTAGGATGAAGTAGAAAGACCTTTCTCAAACAACTCCAACAAATCATCTACTCCGCAAAACTTACATCAAAATGCCCACTATCATTTTAATCCCATTCTAGGTCAAAACTCAAAAACCTTATACAACAACTTCAAATGTGTGCAAACTACAAAAACTGGCATTGGCTTAATAACCAATGACCACTAATCTCTAAATTTTGTAGATACTGGCTTCTTTTCAAGTGAAAACCGTACTCTAAGTTTTTCTTTATCTGTATCCCTCCCCTTATCCCTTTCTGGTCTTTTAAGACATGATTTCAGATTCAGAGATGAATGTGTAACTGTAGGCTTGCTTTGCATTCCGTTCCTCATATTCTCATGTCGATCAACCCAAAACCGAACATTTGCTTGCCCAAATAAATTCCTCTTCTTCACATACTCATAAGCAGCAAATGCAGCATTTTGACGACAAAAGACAACTTGAGCAGCTCCAGTGTAAGCGAAGATCTTTGTTTTTGAATAATTCAATGGCCCGAACATTTCGAATTTCTTTTCTAGCGCTTCTCTGGATGGTAAAGTGAAATCTCTTGGAAACTTCATGTGCAATGACTTGGGAAAACTGTTGATTTTATCATCTGACGGAGATTTTCTAGCTTTGAAGGGTGAATTTGATCCAGACCTTGTCAATGGAGACGCATAGCATCTATGCCAATCAGGAATCATTTGCCGATGGAGCTTCTTACGAGAAGCTTTGAATCCACAGGAGGTGTTGTCTTTATCAGTTGCTTTGCTTGCAACAATGTCATTAAAGTGAGAAAGAACTTCATCACTGGCAAAATGAATAAAACTCATCATGCGGGGTGAGAATTCTATCTTTCTCAAGGATGCGGCCATAGTCCTCTTCTTTGCAACAGCTGCCTCCGTAGCTTCTTGTTGAGAAATTGTACAAGAATTAGTATTCAGGGGTTCACTTTGGTCTGCATTAATTTTCAACATCACGTCAGAAATGGATGTTTGAGATTCACTTTCAGGATTTCTCAACAGCTTTCCTTCTAAACAAGTAGTAGTCTCTGAAAATTTCTCACTTGCTGCAGATATCGGTATTGAAGAAGAATTAACTGAGTCACACCTCCTTTTCTTAACAACAGGTTCATCTGAAGCTTCAGCTAAACTGGAAATAGTATCCAGAAGACCACACTGAGAACCTTGACTAACGCTAATGATATTGTTCCTAGCACAAAGTCGAAGATCATCCCTTTCACCAGAAGAATGTGCACAATTTCTGGAAGGGCTTCTAGGAAACCCCTCAGCTAAGTGAGGTGTAATGCTCTCTTCGAAAGTGATATCGGATGCTCTATGTACTGACTGTGAAATGTCCCCAGAAGAACTTACTGTGCTTCCTAACTTATATTCTGTGTTGCGACACTGTGAAGAATTTGCTGACTCATCCTCATGGAATTTGGGCCTCTTTTCTTCTATTTGATTTGTATCTTTCACCATCTCCATCCTGATGTCTGATTCCTTTGATGAGCTATTTGTAGACAAGTCATCCACTACTTCTATTTGGTTAGTATCTGTCACATGTGAAATGCTTCTAGTGCATTCTATTCCAACGTCAATGTCTACTTCTTGTAATGAACTATCCATGCACAAGTCATGAACAAAAAAATATTTCTTGCTAAAGTTATCTTCACCTGCACCATCAGGATCAAATGATGTCATACATCCATATTCTTCGTCCAAATCAAGGATGCTATAATCTTGCCTATTGATTAAACAAAGCTCTCTCCCTTCTTGCATCTGCTCTTGGTATATTTCAGATTCTTCTTCTTGGATTTCAGTTGAGAAAGCCTCATTTTCAAACACACTGCTAAATCCTGATTCTATCTCATCAGCTGACAAGGGTTCAGATAGATCACCCCAACTTCCTGAAATGGAAAATTTAGCATAAATTCATAAATTATTGACGACAGATCTTATCAGATATTGTGTGTGTCCACGTGCTCGTGTGTGTAAACCTATCTGCAGATTTTATCAAACATTATATATGTGAGCTCTTAAGCAGCCCTGGCTGTGATGGAGTCACGCAACATAGTATAATCACAACACCGACAACATAAAAAGTTTGTAGCTGCTTCAATCATGATGAGCATCAGATTCTCTTCAGGAACTGGACACCACTATATTGACAATGATATTGGAGGTGGTCACTCTAACAAAAAAAAAGGAAAAGGAAATAAAGAAATATAAGGGGAAAAGGTGGAGTTTGAACTGTAATATATTCAAATGGCATCTTCAGCATGAAAAGAGAATAGGAGTCTTCATAAAAATGAAGAACTTTTTAACAGGACGCCTTTACAAATTAACAACTCGAACTATTTTTCATTTACAGTGATTAATTATGTTGTACCTTTTCATCAAATAAGTACAGTAGTATTTATCCAGGACGTCCTATGACTTATTTGCTTCATTCTTGATGCTTATCCAATTACTTTTTATATTTTCTTTAATGGAGCCCGTCCACCAGATTCAAATGTCATAAACCAGATTCAAATGTCACAAGAATCAAGATGAGACCAGAGGCTAGGTCACGTATAAGATCAAAATCACGCAGTGTGGAGGGGACAACTCCTGTTCAATTACAGCAAGAGAACCATGCATAGCTATTTATGTTTGGAGGATAATGCTGACCCACAAAAACAAAAACAAAACAAAAAAAAAGAATGAAAATGATTCAGTTGCAGCAACAAACATGGCAAAAGAAGTTTCAGCAAAGGAAATGTCATTTTTTTGAGTAATTAACGAAAAGAACTTAATGGAGTCCCAAAGTCCAAAAATTAAGATAGAGGTCATATAATGTATATGCGGACGTATTTATATGCAGTGTGTAGACTATAAGGTAGAGTTGAATATTAGTTTTGAGAGGTCACCCTGTTACTTATTCATGACGGCTGACACACTTAAGGTCTTTCTTACAGATTTAAACTCTAGTCTGATTTTCTATTCAAAAATAAGACATGATGATTCTCAACCTCTGGATAACATCCATTGTTATTTAAGGAGCTGTCATTATTTTCCACCAGTATCTGAGCCTGACCTCGAACTAACATCGACGCCAAAACTTGCATCAGACTTCTAGAGTCTAGATCCTAAGTCAGAGGTAGAACCGAAATCTAATTCAAGCTGATCTGGCGAATAATTCATTCCCTGGTTCCATTAATGAATTTGAAAAATCGATGGTATTGATAAAATACACAAATATTTTAATGGATATCTTCCTCAGTTAGTCTTCTAATACTACAGATGATTGATTTTACCACAACAGATCCACCTGCTCATGACTAAATCCAAGTTACATCATATACAAAGCTTCGTATATTCCCACTAATGGGACATTAGCTCCAGCCTATTTGTTCAAGGTCTCTATTTTCTTCTATTTTACAAAACGAGCGCTAGTTTTCTCTATGTAAGCTGATTGATTTAGTGATAAAGCAATTAATCAAAGTCTTATCTCCTTTCAAAACTAGTTTTTATCAGTTTATAGGGAGTCTTGATTAGTTTGGTTAGTTTCGAAAATGCCTCAACCCACAGCGACGGACTTAGACCATTTGGTTCTACTCTGAACTCTTTGTCGTTCTCGTATATATAGAAAAAAACGTAAATAACATAAAAGAAACTTAATTGAGTGATGTTAACCTCCCAATTATTGAATCAGGGAACGATTATATGTTTGTTAGAGAAAAATCTGAATAACTACACCATATGTTATCATGAAAGGCATGCACTAGCATATATTATCGAGTCATATGCCGAGGATCTCTTGCCACAGTAAAATGCAGAAATATAGTTTCCCATCAGTATTTCGTGTTAGTCATCCCAGTCTAACTCGTAAATATAGGATTAAGGTTCAACATGTAAAATTTTAATTTCTAAATGATTTACATCTCTCATTTATACGCACGCTCACACGCAACAATATCGCAAGATCCACGACAATAACAACAGTATGAGCAGTACCTTCATCTTCCACCTCGCTGTCAGAACCACCTTCAACCCCCAAGCTCTGCCGAAACATCCAACCGGGCTTCACGGAAACAAACCGCCGATGTGCCAGAATCCTCTCCACTCCACAACCCACGCTCTCATCCTCCCACTCATCTGAACCCCAACAAACAGCCAAATCCTTTAAGAACCCTAACAAACCTTCCGCGAATAAACCCTCACCAACTCCGCAGGTCCCACACACCGACACGTAATGCCGGTACCCGTTAGCTTGAGCGGACAACCTAACGGCCCTCGCAGCCCCCTCCAAACCAACCCAAGCACGAAGAGCCATCTCCTTAACAAAACCCAACATCTCTTCCGTCTTCCGGCTCAAACTCGACGTCGGATCCCACTGGGCCGTCGAAATCTGGGCTTGTCCTGCAAGAACACATCAAGCCCATCGCTGCCCTGCGGCCCAACTCCTCCAAGGCGATTTCAGTTTCATCTGAAAGCTCGGGCCCGGCGATTTCCGCCATGGCGCCGTGCTTCTCTTCAAACCCCCGGGTCTGGGAGAGATTGACGACGTGGGTATTGTTGGAACCGAAGAGGGAGACCGGAGCTTTGGATCCGTTGACGACGGCGGTGATTTTGGCAGGGGACCAAGTTTGAGGGGAGGTTCTTGCCCAAACTATGCCGTCTTTGTTGAATTTTTTTAGGGTTTTTGATGGGTTTGGGATTGGGGTTCTTGGGGTTCTGGGAAACGTAAAGATTTGGGGTAAGGGGATTGAATCATCTTCGTCTGAGGATGAATCGCCGGTCTCCATTGATTTTAAGAGAGAAGGACGTTGAGTGTTTGTACATAAAAATTTAACAAAGCTCGGGGGGTATTGTGAAATTTTCCCTTTTGTGCACGGCCCGGGCCCGGCCTGGCCCGGAATAGTAGTTTTTTTTTATGTATTATATTATATATGTATATATAAATATATATAATATGTATAATATATGTATATATAATATATTTTTATATATGTATAATATATGTATATATATAATATATGTATATATAACATATTTCTATATATGTATAATATGTCATATGTGTGTATATATACTCTCTCTTAGTATATAAGTATATATAAGTATACTTAAGTATATATAAGTGTGTATATATACTCTCTCTTAGTATATATACTCTCTCTTACATATAATATGTCATATGTGTGTATATATACTCTCTCTTAGTATATAAGTATATATAAGTATACTCTCTCTTATATAAGTATATATATGTATAAGTATATATAAGTATACTTTCTCGTTATATATATATATTATATATATATAATATATATATATTTTATATATATATATAAGAATACTCTCTTTTTATTATGTATAATGTATGTATGTATTGTATATATTACTCTTCTCTTAGTATAGTATGTATATATAAGCTTATCTCTCTATATATATGTAATACTGCTCTCTTTACTAGTATAATTTTAGTATAACACTTCTCTTATATGATGTATATATATGTGTGTATATATATATATACTAATATCTCTCTCATCTCATTAGTAATATATGTATATATAAGTAATACTCTACTCTTATATATGTATTACTCCCTATTATATAAGTATACTCTTTTTATATATTGTGTGTGTACTCTTCTTTTTTAGTATATAAGTATGGTAATATACAACGGTTACTGTCCACATTGGCCAACGGAGCAACGGCTACAGGCGTTACTTATGCCGATTGCTGCTCTCTCTGCTTAAATTATAACTTATAAATATATACAATATATTTTTACATATAATAATATGTATATATACATATATAGTTACATAATAATTTAGAAGTATATACTAATAGATAATTATATAAAATATAATAATATTAAACTAATTTTAGCATTTTTTTTATCATAAAAAATTTTTTTTTTAAAAACAGCTTAGGTAGGATGTACTTATCTATTGTGATCGCGATGAATTCGCAGAAATAAAATTTATACTTGTAATTTGGTAATGATTTATTAATTTTAATAAAGAATTTATTTTTATAATTTTTTATTTGTAATTTATGTCATTTTAAGTGATTAATAAAATTATTATTTTTTATATTTTTTTTTTTATCTTTTTTATAAATTTAAAACTTAAATAAATTTGAAAAAAAAATAAAAAAAAAGAAGAAAAACCGTCGCGGCCCCGAGGACCGCGGCACCGGGTCGGGCCGGCCGCGGGCCCGGGACCCGGCCTCCCCCATCCGGGGTACCCGGGTCCGGTCGGGCTCCGGTTTTTGCCTAGCCCCGGCGGCGCGGAAATCCCGGGCCGGGCCGGATGGACAGGCCTAGATGTCCATCTCTTTTTTTCTTTTATTTTGTTTTCTTTTTCTGGGGTTTTCGTCAAAGTATGTCCTAAATATTCTTCTTAATTTACACCTGTAAATCTACTAAGTTGTTCTAAATAACACTTTTTAAAGTAAAATTTTGTCATATTAGACCGTGCATATTATTTGTTAATTTTTATTGAGTCCCTGAATCGCATTTCTAAAAAACCCCACTAGATCTATTAATTTCAAGAGTTAAATCTTACTACCGTAACAATTATGAACGGAATCTGGCCATGGAAGATTGTTTAAAACTAGGCTAATCAGCGCCTTTGGGATTTTTAGACAAATAATTTTAAATCTTTTGAAAGATTATTTTCTCAAAAAAAAATTGAAAGATCATAAAATTATACTTATACAGCAAAATTTATTTATAAAAATCCTAACAAATCTTGAAGAAGCGCTTATCGATTTCACTAGAAATGAAAAAATAAACTGCATCTTTATCAATTCTTTGTGTGTTATGTTTTATTTAGCAGCATATTTTATCTTGGCAAGTTTATTACCGTACAGTTTCCCCTCTTTTTGCCAAATACCAAAATTTGTAGAGTGATGTGCTAGTTGAGAGCTCATTTGAGTCATTTTTCGGTGTTTAGTGAGAATAACAAAGTACTGGAGGGTTTGGTGAGGAATACCCCAAAGGCTCGGGGGGTTATAAGAAATTTAGCATGCCGCAGAGATAATGCAGGATACAAGCTTTGTGCAGGCTCGTGAGCTAAACATAAGAAAGGTATAACAGGTCACAATGTTCATACCTTTATACCAAGACATACAAAGACATCACATGTATTCTTAGCAAAAATATATTAACAGGATAAAAAAAAAGTTCTCTTCAAATAGTGAATCCACCATGCACAGTGAATTTTAGCAGTATATAACATAACAATTACATAAAGAAGAGGCACTGAATGGAGCAGGTGTCGAGGGGATCTGCATACGAAAATGAAAAGCCCAACATAATACTGGCTTCCGTAGTTTTAGAGCTTCGCGGTTGTTCGTTCTTACACTGGCAGCCTCTTGTGCGCAGTTTCTGCGCTTTCTTGTTCATGAGCTCCAGTTTCAATATTACATTGTGTGATACCATTTGTCCACTCAGAGAGTTGCTTCGTTGCGGCCTCATCTGAAGATAGTGAACAGAACAAATCTTCAGTACACACAAATAAGGAAAGGCTCTGATGCTCCTAAGACATAACTACGCAAGTTAAAATTGATATGCAATAGATTTGTATGGCCCGTTCTGTTCACATCAGTATACTAGTTAATTAAGTTTAAAACAAAAAAAAAAAATCATGCATTTTAATGACCTTTACTCATGTATCAAGTGATGACAGAATGAATGATTTTTCGATAAGGTTACTATAAGGATACCCTAGTCTATAAGCTCGGAGTAATAAAAAAATGCAACAAACTTTTGTTTATAGAACAAACTTCCATGATATGTTAATATGAAGGGAGCAAATTATTCAATTTCACAACACACCATGCATTTCAATAGTTGGGTATATACTATAGCCTAAGGGTATTAAAGGCCCTTCCAGTGAACAACATGCATGAATCATGAATTCAGTAGATATTTGCCTTTCGTATCAGGATAAAATATAACAATCATCCATATCACATAATATCTATATCCTTAAATAAAACAAGGGGGTTTGAAGATTATTAGTGCGATGATCCAAGAGTTTTTCTTCCATATGTGCACCCAACTATCCAATGTTAATATCAATTTAAGAATAGATCAACCTTGTTCTGCACATAATTGTAAGAATTCATGTAGATTTATAGGCACAAACCTAGCCTGGGAACTGTATGGCCTTGTGGATGCCTGATAATCAATGGGCTCTCAAAGGCAGCCGCAAGCTCTTGCGAAGGCAGTTTCAACCAGTCCTTTTCTCCAATAAAATGGACGGATCTAGCCTTAATGGCGTCTTTGTAAGCGATGTCACAAATTCTTGGGTCTCTGAACTTGCTGCCGGATATTGAGACAAGGAACTTTATAGGTGGATGTCCCTTCAGTATCTTCCCCTGATATAACACCATTCATGCAAATAGTTGGACAATATTTTGAGAATTAGCAGTGAATGCATGATCGGTGAATGCTAATTTTACCTGAGCTTGATATCCTATCAAAAGGGCTGAAAGTGTTGCTCCCTGTTGAGTAACAAAATCCTTGTTCATTATCGAAAATGACATTTTATTCATAAAAGACCCGGTTATGTTAAAGATGCAATGCACAAGTTTATATGCAAGATAACAAGTCATATAAGATGGACTATCAGTAAACTTATTTATGTCAGATAATTTGGTAACAATTGAACAGAGTTGTTTACCTGAGAAAATCCAAGTAGCCCATCAAAAGGGCCATTCTCTGTCATGTAATCACACAGGAACGAGATGCACTCCTCCAAATTAGTATATTCTGTAAATTCCTGATAATCAGTGCTTAAACTATCAGAAAATACTCTGAGGATTCATAAGATCACAATTAATGGGACAATGGAAGCTGTAAGTAGGTCTAAGAGAACTTAATTGGAAGCAATTAAGAATGATATAGTCCTGATGGAACTGAACGGGAGCATACAATGCACATAGTGGACCCGAAAAGTGTCAGATAAAGCTTTTGATTTAATTGTTGTTGCTGTAATTGAACTGGCCCCCAAGCAAATTGAAGTAGCATAATGAACTGTGTACGCTGTTAATGGCTCGCAGTATTTGTGTGATATCAGATTACTTAGAAAAGTGTCAATTGCGGATGGATCCCCTATACTACCGCCCAATTGTGGATAGACCACATGTAGTTCTACTGCTGTAGATAGACACCTTGTACTGTTGCCAGTTGCAGATAGACGCCCCAGAGTTTTTTTTTAATTACTCTTTTCCACCTAAGAAGTATATTTGTCAAAAGATAATTTTCTCTTTCTCTGAGGGTAAGAAGGTAAGCGAGTCAAAAGCATTTCGCTCAGGGTTTCTATCTGCAACAATAGAGCTATAGGATCCATTTGCGATTGGGAGGTAGTACAGAGGGTCTACCCGCAATTAACCCTTCAGAAATATTTATCAATATACTGCATCTATAACCAAGCATCAGTGAATCTATGCGTATACCTGTCTAAGAACTAGAACTGATATGTACTGCTTTGCCTACAAGATCGTGTTACCTTGTTGAATTGGAACCACTCAAAGTATGGTCCTGGAAAAATGCCCTCAATATCGGACCTCCCTCCTGCAGGAAATATGCCATTGGGAAAATCCTGCGAATTCATATCCATGCATTATTTGCTCAGTATGCTTTGTATATGATGCAAAACTCAAATTGTTTTCAGCATTGAGATAGAAGAGATACCATCTGAAGGTGTTGAAAGATGGAGGAATCCCACTTGCTGATTTGTTTGCGCAAGAAGCTCCCGCTGGTTCGAAAGCCGTGAAGGCAAAGCACCTTCATCTTCTTCTTCAT